TCTGATGATTTTCCCTAGGGTATCACTAGATGTTTTCCGTGTAAAAAGCCTTTTTGGATGTAATTTAAAAAATGTATTTGTTACAACCATATCAGTGTCTTGAATGATCAGCATTTCTCCTCTTTCGTTTCTTGTGCCAAAACAATACGTCCCAACAATATTCTCAAGTGTACTTTGGCCTATTTTGGCGATAAAAAACCGCACGTGATGATAGTTAAGTTTGTTTTTTGTCAATTTAGGAAAGTCTTCTAGAATTTGATAGAAATTTTCTATTTCTTTTTTAGTATATTCGGCTGTTGGTACCTAGACCTAAATGATGTTTATATTAGAGATACTGGAATAACTCTGTCTGACATCGGTGTAACTCCTATCACTGATTTAGCTATTTCTGCACTATCCAGCGACAAAAAGCAATATTTTTGTACACATAATTTACAAACTTCCAATACTATTTCTTTCAAAATTGGGAATTTTTATTTCAGAGAATATCATGCCAAAAATTGAACAGCATGAACAAGAAATATCAGAAAAAAGCTGAAATAACCTTTAAATAAATCTTTAAAAATATTGCATCTTCTTTCTCGTAATTCTTTTGATAAGACACCAATAAAAGCTTCTCTTATTCTCCAAAAGGTCAACGATTTTCGTGCTTCATGCACGTCTACGTGGTTCTGAATGAAATCTGAAGATTTTAATTTGTGAAAGACCTATTTTAAATCATACACAACACACACACTTGTACAAATAAAGTACCTACCGGCCTTTCAAACCCTTCTATACCGTGTAGTCAGTGAAAACACGGTCGACAATCGCCTAAAACCGGTACGTATTTGGTTTTTGACCCTGTAAGATGCTTAAATAAACATCTGGACCACTCGTCATTTTTGAATATTAGAGACGTGTTACGTCACTTCGTGTGTAGATGAAAACAAATCTGTATTTCTACTTTTGTTAATCAAGACGATGTTGGGTTTTAACTAATTTACATTTTTTCTTTGGTCCCGCATGTCGTTACTACATTAGAAGATTATTTTTATGATCTGAATTACTATTCAGTTATGAATCACCACATAAAACTATTTTTAGTGTTCAAACGATAGGTAAAAATCAAAGAACTTAAGTCTTTTTTAACACGTTTACTACCAAGCGGGTACTTAAGTTTCGTCCTTATAGATCATGTATAAGTTATGTCAAATATTTGAAAGAAATCTTTACCTGTTTGTAATTTGCATAAAACCGGATATGAATATTTAGTTCCTTAGTGATTTTTTGATCCAGATCATATATGAGACGTTGTTTGAAGCCTAATAGTTTGAATGAAATTTTCCTCAGGACTGCAAGTACAAGTGGTGGTATGAAATAACTTTAAAACTATATGACTATAACATAGGTTGATTACAAGTTACATATTAAAAACAATATAATTAGAAATTATATGGACTGTTTTGCATGTAAAAAGTAGGAAAATATCTTTTTTCTTCAAACGTCAAATAATGATGACATTACTTATCTAACTTGATCCTGTCAAAGTTTGATGTGGCAACAATATGAAACATGTCACAAAGCAACAATACAAATGTCATTAACAACAATTAAACATCATTTTTATTTATAGTAATATTAAAAGTACAATTAGTTAATGAGGCATTTTCAAAATTGAAACCGTGCAAAAATGTTCCCGACTCTTGATACGCATTGGTAATTGTTGATGATACTGATGATCGAGAACAACTTTCAGCAATCATTCCCGATGTTGGCGAATCATGAGGGTTTAAAATTTTTTGTAGCATTATCGTTCTTATTTCTTATTGAATCCTTTATATGTATATCCTTCGACAACCGTGCTTGATTTCCAGCCCCCATGTCGTTTGAGGCATTCTAGATTTCCGCCTCCATCAATTAAAAGTGTTGCTGAAGTTCGTCGTAAAGAGTGACCTGTGTATGCGCTTGCATTGTTTAAATTTAAATAACTAGCTACTTTGTGGGCTACTGCGCTGATCGAATGTATTCCCATGACGCTTCGGTAACACTTGCCCTTTTGGTACTTGATAAAAAATCGGTTTTCTGTGAAATTTTCAGGCCGCAGTGATGCATACTTTTTATACAGTTTAATGTACTTTTGACCAATTATCGTAAAAGATCTAATTTGTTGTGTTTTACTGTCTGGGATTTTGATAATTATTACATTTTCTTTATCCTCAATGTCCACAGTCTTCATTTTTACCATTTCGTCGCATCGACAGGCGCCGGTAACCCCAATTAACAAAACAATCTGAAATATTTTTATAATTTAGTAGAGTATACTACATGCTTTGCAATATAATTTTTTTACCTTTAATCCTAAATACAACTTATCTGGCGCTTCAAACAAAAGTTTATCAAACTCGTCTTTAGTGAAAACTTTAGACTTCTTTGCAGAATATCCTTCGCTTGTTTTTTTTTTCAGAAAGTACTTTAAAAATTATTTTTATATTTAGTTATTTAAAATAACTTTAAAAATTTGCTTATATCCACATTTTTTCTAATAACTAACTCGGATTTTATCATAAAGTATCGTGACCACATTGTAGAAGGTTTCCATTTATTTTCATTTTCCATTATATTAAAATATGCCAGTAAAACGGCTTCGGTAACTTGCCGTACTCCTCTTGTATCGCACCACTCTTGGAAGTGCTTGTACGCTAACCGATACTTTATTCCGGACTTGGAGGGCCCCAAACGTGCTACTGCATCATTAGCCGCGGACTCAATTTCGTTTAGGTTTTCCATTTTCGCACTAAATTTGCGCTTGCGGTTGCAACAACAATAAAGGTCGATTAAGACACATCAGTCACGTCTCGTCACAGTCCTGGCGCCGAACCGAACAATCCGTCATACAAAATATCCTTTAATAGAAAGATGGCGCGGGCATTCACATTCATCAGGCGACGAACAGTTTCACAGCTGTCAAATAATTAATAGTTCTGTGACCAAACAGGACCGGTTCGGCGCCGAGACTGTGACGGGACTGATGTGTCTGAATCGACCTTAAGCTGTTTTTAATAATTGCAAACAACTGTAACCAGGGAGACGCAAATTTCACCGACGACTTAATTATTTTAATTTCTAACATCTAGACGACTTTGATAGTTGTCACAGTTAATTTCGAGTAAAAATAGCGTATGAATTGTACTATTTATGGTTGAAAATTGCTACGTTTGAAGAAAAAATAGTATACTTTATTCGGCAAAGAAGCGACTTTTCTTGACTTGCCCTCTATTACGCGCTCACTTCGTTCAACCGCGTAATATCGTCGCGTCAAGAAAAGTCATGCTTTTCCGCCTCATAAAGTAATATACTATTACTTGACTCCAGGAATGTCAACGGAAAGTCGACGGGCGAAACCTTTCACAGCTCTCTAGAATGGCATCTATGTTAGCAGGTTAGGAAGAAACTGAAATTCTCAAAATGTTTTCAACGTTCTCACTAGTTAGCCTAGATCTGTACTTGTTTTTTATAAACTTCAGATGACTGAATGTAGATACACAGATATGTAGATGCAAAAATACAAAAATTTTCTGAGCACAGTCAATTAAGTTAGGAAATTTGTCATTTTCAACTGGTTGCCAAAACTTATAGTGAGCCTTTTCCTTATTTTTTTCTTCAAAAACACTTTTGAGCTCTGTATCATTCTGAAGTTCAATTAACTCATTTTTTAAATCCCTAGCTTCGGATCCAAAAATAGAAAGATGAGCTACATTTGCTGTTGTTAATGCCTATGGATGTTCCATCAAGCGAAATGGTTCTTGGAACTTCCTGAAGTCACTAAACCTCACAGACATTTCATTCTTTAGGTCTGCTAGCAGCTTCAGTATGTCAGAAATATCTTGACTTTCATCTGGATTTTCATCAAACAGTGCTTTAACGAAAGAAAGCTGGAATAATCTTCATTTGACAATTCTTCAATATACATATTCAGCTTCTGCTCCAGTGAAAACACAATACTCATCATTTTTTCGTTACAATGTTATTGTAGTCTCCTTGCAATTTGGTCAATGTTTCATTGATAATGCTCATTGTATCAGTGAGAAACGCTACTTTAAGCCACCAACTAAATGTAAATGTATTTAGGGTCCATTTATTTTTTCGGGCATGCGTATTTACGAGGTCCACAAGGTTTTGAAACATCTCTACTAGCCGCCAGTGCCGCTGTGGTGGGGGTAAAGATGACTAATGCGAAATGCGGTACAATGCATGGCGCCGCTCTACACTACTGTAATCTGATTAAATACATAAATAGAAACATAATTATATTCTAACTCGCAAATTTTGTTTTATTGCCTAGCAGCCTGAATGCTCCAAGGCCACCGCATGCGAGTATGGCTGGTTTATAGCATAAACAAAGAGACTGTAAAATCAAGATTATATGCACAATCTATAAAAAAGGGGATAAACTGAAATGCGAAAATTATCGCGCCTGACCCTACTATACAAGCGTAACGAGAATTGGTGTTTTACTAACGTGTACTGAGATTTTTCTGAAACGTCTCTTAAGTCGTTCACGAGATAAGACACCACGAGTATTTGTGTCTTATTCGACAACCATTTACCGACTCTGAATGTTGTGCTTTTATTGACTTTAGAAAAGAAAAAGAGTCTACTGTCAATAGACGGTCAACAGGTGTTGGCCATTCCTGTCTTTTGTATTGATATACGTCTAAACAAACCATTCATAATAAAAATTAGTGGCTGGATATATTATTTATGGATTATGCATAGATAAATATTTTAAGAGATTATTCTTGTGAAAATGTCGAAAATTATATATTCTTATCGAATTACTCAATTAAAACTAATTCTAATTTGTTTTTAAACTTTTTATTTTCATTTTCTTTTAAAAGTGCCAAATTAACACCAATCTTAACACCAAATCCAACAAAACTCTTCATTCTGTAATAATAGTTGAAATGTACACTAAAACACATATTAAACCGGTTTACTAACAAACCTTTTTGTTTCAGCAATGATGGCACAATCTTTAGCGCCAACAACACCCAGAGAATCAATCTCATCGTCTTCCAACCATCTCGTACACAAAACTTCGAGTCAACTGGACTATTCTAAATACGTGAAAAAGTTCTCGTCGTCCTTGGAATGTGGCAGTACTTACTGCAAGGACCTCAACTACAGGTAAACACAATTGACTTTGCTTTTTTGACAAGATTGCCAATATTGTTGTTAATCTACAATTATTTGACGCATATGTTTTTTGTTTAGGGAACATTTCCACTGTCTGGATTGTAATTCGAGGGTATTTATCAAGAAGGAAGAAATGATCCGCCATTTTAAATGGCACAAAAAGAGAGATGAATCCCTACAGCATGGATTTATGAGGTACAGTCCTTTGGACGACTGCGGTGACAAATTTTCCAACTGTACACACAACAAGAAACAAACCCATTATCATTGTATCAAAGAAGGGTGTGATAAGGTAAGTTCTTACTTAGATTAAACGCCTCTTTGGCAGCTTAAACTTTTCGCACAAGCCACGTTTTCATAGTTTACGTAAACATTAATTTTGTTTATCTTCCAGGTATACATATCAACGTCTGATGTACAAATGCACGCAAACTATCACCGAAAAGATTCGGCAATCATTCAAGAGGGCTTCCAAAGGTACCGAGCTACCGAAGAATGCGGTGCTAGTTACTGTGCGTTTTTTGGCCAAAGAACTACACATTTCCATTGTCGGAGAAGTGGCTGTCGTTTCACGTTCAAAAACAAAAGCGATATGGGTAAGTTTTGTTTACAAATAAACTATTACTGGAATACTAAAACTGTTTTTATTTTCAGAGAAACATAAGTCATATCATATCAAAGATGAGCAACTCTCGAGAGACGGTTTCAAGAAATTTATGAAGAACGAAAAATGTCCGTTCGACAACTGTCGGTTCTCGAAAGTGTGTAATCACATACACTGCATTCGCCCACAGTGCAGCTACGTCTTGCATAGCTCAGGCCAACTGTTTTCCCACAAACGCAAACACGAGCGTAAAGACTCAGAACTGGCGTACAGAAAGTATAAGTTAGCCCAAAGTATGTTGAAGACTTTGACTGATGGTCCTGTACCGCCCCCTTTGAATTTTGCTAGAGACTACGAGGCTCAAATTGACAGTTTAAATTTGTCTCTTTATAATCAATCCTCAGGAGCAATGTCCAACATGTCTAACATGTCCAACACTGAGAGTTTAAGCGAGAGAAACTCTCCAGTGAGCTACGAGGAATCTGAGTCTATTTCTGCGATAGATTTAAGCGCTAATGAATCTAATTTTGCTCAAGAAGATACCATTTCCTTCAACAGTGAAGACTTCTGGCGCAAATACTGTCAATTTGTGCCTGAGAATCAATGCCCGAACGACAAATGTGAATACGCCTTCACGGATCACTTCCATTGCTTCGTTGAGAACTGCGATATGACATTCAATACTAAAGAATCTGCCAGAGAACACGCTAGAAATCACGAACAACAGGAAATGATCACAGACAACTACTTCACCACTGTTACAGTACAAAGCGGAGAATGCGAAGAAAATTGCGTCTACCAAGACAAAGAAAAACATTATCACTGCAACTGGGAAAATTGTAGGGAAGTTATTCTTCCAATCGACAAACCATTTAGACGTTTGGAACATTACAAAATGCACGAATATTCCAAGAAGCTCAGTCTAACTAAGGATCCTCTAACTATGACGCATCTATCCAGCAGCATCGATGGAATGTTTTGCAGAAAACGTGGAAGGCCACCAAAGAATAGAGTAATCGAAGTATGGAATGATTATGTAAGTAGGACTGTCTTTATGTCTGACAGGTTATCAATCGAGAGATACTGAATACTAAATATTTTGTTTCCTAATTTTTAGAACCCTATGGGTACCCAAACCCTTATGGACAGTCCACAAGCTATCTTCACCAGCTTTAAACTTCCAAAACCATCAGCAACGCCCTCTAGTAGCAAAGAGATCGAACAACAAGATTCCAATGACGACAGATCAAGCACCCATAGTCCAACGGTAAGTCCCACCCATAGAATTTATGAAGAAAACAATTTTAATTGAAAATAGTATATAAAGTAGTCGAAAGAAATCATATCGCTAGTAGTCTAATTGATTCTTTGTTTTTTTTTTAGCCACAGGACTATTCTCTCCAAGGCTTTGATGTCTTTAATGAAAATACCAAATGCCCCGACACGTTGTGTCCATATCTAGGGTCAACGCACTTCCATTGCGTCCAAAATAGATGCCTCTATGTCACAGAGAAAGAAGATACTTTAGTCCTACACGCTAAAGATTTCCACGATAATGTAGAAATATTAGACGGGTTTGAGTTCTACGATAGAAACATAGATTGCAGGTGAGTATTTGTTCAAATTAGATCATTTTCTGGATAAAGGTTTCTCTGTTCTTATTCAAGGAAGATTTTATCATTTATATGTAGAGCAGACTACCATTATTGGAGCAATAACCATTTGGGACACCCTCCTAACCACCAATTTATATAAAAATTTAATTTTTCAGGCTTCACAACTGTCCCAGTAACAAAATCAACCGACATTTCCACTGCACACGACCGAACTGCAACTATTCCTTTGTTCAGTATTCATCAATGGCGATTCATAATCAGAAACATGCGGAAGAACTTGCTCATGCCTCTCAAAGCACCTTTATTCAACCTAAACTGGAGATTCGAGTGAAGAGCGAGGCACAATTGACGGATCAAAGATTGGAACCTAGTGATGGACAGTTCAAAGCTATTAATTTGAGCCAAGCAGGAGAAAACAATAAAGTATCAGGTAAGTTTTTTTAATGTATCATGAGGAATGAGCTGTGTTTAATTAGGAGCATCACAGACGGTGTTGAATCATTTTCTATTCATATGTTGTCTACGTTTTATATTTACTGATAGAATTAGTGGTTGCAATACACTGTTATGCTTTTTATCAATAGGTTTAAGTTACTTGGAACATTTGGAAAAGGTATTTCTTAGTTTTCTCCGTTTTTTTAATATGGTAACACTGAATTGTGCCGGTAGAATTTTTTATTTAATTCTTCAAGAAATAAACGATTTAATGGTTCATGAATGTGTTGCTTGTGTGAGTCCATTTCAAATAGGTAAAGAAATAATAAATAAGACTTACTCACAATCAATTTAATTTAACTATCCAGACGACCGGTTTCGCTTTCTATAATATGCAAAGCATCTTCAGGTCTCGATACAAAGTTAAATAAATGCTGAAATAATAATAAACCCGTATTAGGGTGTTGTCTAATAAAGATAAACAAAGTAGATGATATAAATTGCAGTAATTATGCTAATATTACATTTCTGTGGTTTTTCAAAATGAATAAAAAGGAATAAAAGAGTATAAAAAGTTTTAACAGGCAAGGTAAGACCCACTAAATTGTTTACACAAATTACTGTAATTTATATCATCTACTTTGTTTATCTTTATTAGACAACACCCTAATATGGGTTTATTATTATTTCAGCATTTATTTAACTTTGTATCGAGACCTGAAGACGCTTTGCATATTGTAGAAAGTGAAACCGGTCGTCTGGATAGTTAAATTAAATTGATTGTGAGTAAGTCTTATTTATTATTTCTTTACCGATTTAATGGTTCCTTAAAAATACATTTCCAAATGAAGTATCAGTAAATAATTTGTATAGAAAGTAGATAGTTGTAAGGGTTCTTGCAGGATGACGTTACCAAAGGCAAACTTATAGATTGTAAGTTTTATTTTTAAACTAGTTTCAAAGAAAATCAGTTCCAGATCATAAATAATTTGCGCATTTATTAAAAAATCAATTAAATGAACTATTGTTCGTCTCTTGTGCTTCATTAACGAAGACAAAAATCAAATTTGCTGAATTCCTAACTGTCCTGACAAATAACGAAATGTGGCAACATCGAAAATATTATATATACCGATTTTTTAATTACGATTACTTTAAAACTTAAGTTGCCTTTAAGAAGTATCCTTTGGTAACGCCGCCCAATTATTTACTGTAAATATAGCATTGTCTGTCTCTCTTCTAGTGGTGAAGGCATCAGGGACTTTCTATCCTTTATCTACATTGCCAACAGAAATGCAAAAATCACCAGAATATAAACCTATCGTTTCAGGTACGATTCTGTACTAACAAACAATACGCTAAATGCCTCACTAACAAAAGGAAACAATGAAAAATGACACTTTTCTGACTAGTACTATTAGTAGCAAAGAAATTTTTAAATAATTCGTTACTATTTTTATCAATTTTTTAAATTTAGCTGTAAATGTTATTGTTCATACTAAACATGTGAAAGAATCTTAAAATTAATGTCAAAAATGGCTACTTCAGTACGTCACGTGACGATCTTGAGCCTTGGTTCACACATAGTATGGTACAACAACCGATATAGGATGACCTTCGTTCTTGAGCGAACAAATCATTAAAGCAAAGTAGACCGGGTGGTGCTTTACCATCATAAGATGAAACAAGTTGTGTTCAATATCATAAAATCATTCGAGAAAATGTTAAAATTGAAATAGCATTCCAGGTATATTTTAGAAAAGCCTTTTTAATGAATGAAAACAGACAAATACAAATGTGTATTACTTAGTACAGTCTAGTGTCATTTTGCCCAAACTTCAGTCTAATTTTCTTATGATTCTCTACATATTTTCTATGAAAGACCTGATTTGCATGATATAAAAATCTTTCTGCATGCTTTTTCTTGAAACAACATTAACTTCTTGTATACCGTATTTAACAATTATATTACTTTCAGAACCAACGCAGATTCATGAAACAATGACTCCAACAACAGGTAGCAACATCCTGTACGGGCCAGAGATCAGTTGCTCCAGGCCTTTCTGTAAACTGAAAAGGAAGTACCACTATCACTGCAACGCTTGCAACCAAGCCTTCAGCGAATTGGATAGATTGTTGGTTCACGTAGCAAAACACAGCAGCGGGGCTCTGAATAGTCAAACGCAAGAGGAACACTCTCCACAATCGTTTTCTCCTCCATCACCCCAAATTCCTGTATCTTCTACGACGTCGAAACCTTCGACCGAAAGCAAAATCTCCATCGCACCTATACAAACGTTACAAAGTCCTTCTGTTAGTCAAATCAGTCAACAACAGAAAGAATCTCACGAAACTTACCTCCCACCTACATTCGACGCATATAGTCATTTTAACAATTTTCCCGCCAATTTACAATTCGCTATAATGTCGCAACAACAGCAGATGCAAAACCCTTTCTTATCCCAAAGCCTCTACCAGAATCCTCAGCTGATGTTCCAACACGCGCAATTGATGCAAAGTCCCCTCCTTGCTCCCCAATCCCCATATCCTGGAGAGAACCTTACCAGTCCTCTTGCTGCAATGGCTGCTAACTTAAATAAGAGAGCAATGAGCCCTCACGACATTTCCACTGATGCCAAGAAGGCAAGAATTCAAAATTCGATGAGGATATTGAAGGACGAGCCAGTTCCCGATGGATATCTCCGGTTCAGGTTTAACGAAGACTGCCAGTATCAGCACTGCGGATACAGGGAACACCAGACGCACTTTCATTGCCAGAGGCAGGATTGTGGATACAGTTTTTGTGATAAGACTAGATTTGTGCAACATACGGCGAGGCATGAAAGGCTTGATACACTTATGGGAGGAGATTTCCAGCAGTACCGGGCAAACGTAGCGTGTGGCCGAGCAGACTGTGCCTATACGGCAAATTTAGGTAAATTTTCTCTTAATCATTTACATCTTAACCTCAATTGAGACTCAGTAGGATAAAGGTATTCAGTTTTGTAAGATCAAATACAGAAGGTACTATCTACTCCACTATTTTGATCTATCTGACTCTATATCATTAGAAGATAGAGATTCATCTGTAAGTATTTGTGTGTTCTTTCTTTACAGGACAGATTATGTCTTTCTCCTTTTGTATCACGCATACTTTCTTTAGATAGTTCTCACGTCCTTTTTTCAGTGGGTTTCTTAAAGTTTTCTTTAGAAAAACGAACATATATCGACATAATCTCTTAACAATCGAATCGTGCAAGTACATATTCGAATGAGGAACTCTCGTTCCATGAGCGAACGATTTATTAATGCTCTCTTACCTTGAAATGACAAAGTCGTCCATGTAATGTCGTACCATGATAGACGTGGTAATTATAATATGGAAAAATTTATTTGCACTTATATCTTTACTGCTGGAAAAGCTGAACAACTTTACAGATCTGTAGCAGCTCCTCATTCAGTGAGTTTAAAATGTTTCTAAATTTTTATCTCAACGTTGTTCGTCTTTCACAGACACGATACTTTCCAAATTTTTATAGCGACTGAAAACCAGGAAGCAGCAGTACCTTTTATTCTCCCTTTTTCCCACCTGTAACATATTTATAGGGGTTTTTTCTTGGCATCTACAACACATCCTTCTAAAATCAGTCTATTTTTTCACTAATCTTCTTACTTTTCTTTATTTTAATATATCTCCTGAACAAAGTGAACTGTGTCAACCCAAGTATTTTTTTACAGCAGGTTGATTTTTGTTTACTATTGTTTTGTTTATTACTATCCTTCCTTTCCTGGAATGCCAGATTGGAATTTAACAGTACCTATTTATTTAGTTATGTATAATAAACTGTGGTTATTTATTTCAGGATCGACCCAGAACAAGGCATCCCACTTCCACTGCCTCAAATGTGATTTCGTATGTACGGACACCAACAAAGTGGTGGCCCACAGACGGCAGCACCAAAAATTAGACTCTATCCAAGCCGCCGGTTTCGAGAAGTTCACCCCCAGCCAAATATGCAGAGTACCGAACTGCCAGCACAGTGGCAAACAAACGCATTACCATTGTTTGCAGTGCCAGTACGCAGTACTAGGACTTGCGCAAATGTCCGCGCATAAGTACAGACATATGGAGTGAATATGTGTATATATTAGTTCTTAAAGGGATAAAATGATGTTTTGGGTTAGAAAAAAACCTGTTTTTGTAATGAGTTGGGTATATTTTGGCAAGGATACGATAAATTCTGAAGTATTTAATACATTTCGAAGATGTGATAAGTTGAACTGTGTATTTACAAAGTAGGATAGTTTTTTTAAAAGTATATATGGACTATGATAAATACTCAGTTCCTTTGTGTTGTTATACTTGCCAAAAATACCCAATTTTGAAAGAAAAAGTATTTCAGCGAAGTGCTTCTACGAAATTTTGTAAATAATGTGTACAAAGATATTTTTCCATTATGTAAATTTGTAAATACTTAAAAAAGGCAATAATTTTAACTATCTCAGATTGAATCTATATTGAGGAAAAATACTTTCATTAAATTTGTCAATAACTGACTGAGATCTGTAACTTAAAGTTATAAAAAATAAATAGAAAATGAAATACGATATGATGTATTTGTTACAAAAAATCCTTCTGAACAGTATTTGTAGTGTAAACTAAAAGTATTCTAAATAATTCTTTTGTTTATATTACTTTAGCTTTAAGTGGTTCCAGAATTGGTTTTAGATTTAGTGTTGGTTCTGGTTCTTTTATATTGCAAAAAAGAAATCACTAAATGTTTTGACATGTTATCTTAACTTACAGCGTTCGTGGAGTAAAAGTAGCAACTTTTGCGAGGTCAAAACATTTTTTTAGTTTTGTCGGATAAAAATCTGGATATCCAGGTGGTCAAATCATAAATTTAGCTTTCTGTGTGAGAAAAACTTCTCACCAAGTAACCACCTTCATTGGTACTTAATTAACTTCATTCTATTATAGCTCACTCAAGTCTATAGGAAATTAAGCTGGTGATAAGGGACTTCTAGTAGTTGATATGGATGCTGAACAAACTTGTAGTTTGGCCCAATGGGGCGATGTTGGTGATACAAGTACAACGACCTTTCAAGATGTGAAATCAAGGCTTCTACATCGTCTTCAGGGTTTGGGCCGTGTGTTTTTGGACAACCCGTTTGTGGATCGTTCTTAACCTTCCACTAATCTTGTACGATAGTTTCTTCAATAATAGAAGAATGATGTTTTTGGATATACATCGGTAGAGACATGTTGGAATGAACCCACATACGAATCGTGTACAAAAATCACGTTCAAAAATCAGATGATTAATTTTAAGAAATCTTTCAAAAAAAGGTTTACCAAGTGGTATACCATCAGAAAAAAGTTAATAAAAAACCAATATCTACATAAAATTCGAAATACAGGGCGAACAATCACAGGCATTTGAAACGCAGGGTCTCCTTTTCAACATAGCTGTGGAAAAGGCGGCCAGGGATCAAGAACTAACAAAAGTAACACTGCACAAACGCAATATAAACTTAAGAAATTAACAAGTTTTCTGAAAAGTGCAGCGATTTTTCTTTTTAAAAATAATTAACCTAGTTAGGTACTCTTATAATTCGATAATCTACAAGTTCTAATAAAAATAAGTAGATTCCAGACATTATGATGTGGCAACATCGCAAGTTTTATATATGAAGTGTCAAAACATCTTGGGATTTTTTGTTTGCTATCAAAGCTAAGTGAATATAAACGATAAACGTTAACAAGAGTAATTTATTGGAAATTAGTACTTTTTATTTAAAATATAGGGATCAAAGTTGTAAAGTAAAAGACATAGATTTTTAGAGTAGACGTAATAGCAATAGAGGCCTTTGTCTGATAGTAGTGCCTTAGAAAAGACATATAAATTGTGTGCCTTTTTGGGTACTTTTTTTGGTAGAGGATTTTTTAGAGACCGTTTTTGAAAGAAATACGTCATTCCAGATATATATACCAATTGTGCCATATTACAAGTATATATTTACAAGATATAGCAGTTTTTCCAAGAATAGAATAGATGAAATATAGTTTATATTGTAACGTGTCATATCTGAATCTACTCTTTGTTTTTATTTTTTTCTTAATTTATACTATTATCATTTTTTCACTATTATTTATTTTGCATCCTTTTGTACATTTTCATTGTGAATTTTTTTGCCATATTTTGAAATAGTTCGTAGTCTGCTACAGAGTTGGGCCGTTTTTAAAAATTCGCCACTATAGAAATATTTAGTCATCATACAAGTTTATTGTACAATTTTTAGACTTGAACACAAGTTTGATTAGGTGAGATAAAGTGATTAACATCACTTCACTTTAACTGAGAACACGGCAACAACACAAATAAACGAGAAGAACATTTTTCCGGTAAATAATTTTCTCTCAAATGGTGTTCGACAAGACTATTTCACTAGGCAATTAATGCACCATATTAACGAAACTCAAACCATATCAAATTAGCTAACTATAGACCAATATCTCTCTTGCCACAAATCTTTAAAACTTTCACTAAGGTGATCACAACAAGACTAAACAACAAATTTGATGCATACCAACCAGTTGAGCAGGCAGGATTTAGAAAGGGGTACAGCACAATCGACCACCTTCACACTCTTAAAATATTGATAGGAAAGACCAACGAATACAACCTTCCAATATACCTAGCTATATACCAACAAAGAAGAACAAAGAGATCCTCTACAATCAAAATGGACATTCACTCGAACACAGAATCAAATTGAAACCGGAAATAGCAGGAGTAAACGCATCAAAATATAGAGCGATACCTACGGCTAAATGCCGAGTACATCTTTCCTACTGTTCCTATAGGCCTATAGGAATGTTCAGACTTGTAGTGTCTGCGATCTATCACAAAATATTTTAGACAAGCGATCGACTACCGACTACTACAGCTAGACTGGAACCTAGATACTAAAATATGTAGATTTCAGAAAATACTGTATCATTGTTTGCATAATTACTGAGTGCCAACCGTAAGCCTGATGTGAGATATTTGTCGTACTCATTTCGTGTTTTAAATATTGGTATTTTACTTCTTCAACTTCTACTTGTCATAATTTAATAAAGACGTGACATAATGCTCTGTCACCGCAGCTTGTTATACAAGAAACAAAAACTCGAAGACATTCGACAAACGTCGCGCGCTCACCATGTCTTGAAAGCATGGAATACTTTGATCAGGATCTGAATCTCTGGCGATCGACTGTTTGGGGCACCGCTGATAGGCGATACTTCACGGATCCTCTGTGTTTTCGCGATAGGTCTTAACTACAGTATAAAATTTGATTTTGTTAAATTATGTAGTACACTGATTAAATATTTCTATTAATAACAGTTAACTTATGGCCAAAGTGGTATACAAAAGGTCTAAAAACAGAAAAAAAACTCTTTTTAAACGACAGCCCAATTGTGATTTTTTTGTTTTTGTTCATAGCTAGTCTTCTTTCTTTTGCTTTATATTACTATTTTTAATATTTTTTAAAATATGTAATTCTCAATCATAAAAATGATTTTAAAAATCGGCTTGTAAGTCGAAATTCTTTTTTTATTATTATTTAAGCTAAATTTATAGAATTGTATGTATGGTTTATGATTATTTTATCTACGAGTGTATTTTATGTTAATTTTCTGTGATTGTAAGATTTAAAAAAAATATCAGTATTTAAACCAAAAACACGACTTTTATTTCTTCTTCCGTGGCGGATGGTGAAGGTGGGTCACGGGGAGCCGACCTTCCTAGAAAAATGATGTGCAAAAAATTTAATTATATTTCAAATTCACATTTTTCTCTTAAAAATTTAAAACTGAGGCTAGCTACGCTGATGTTGAAGAAAGACTGAAATGGATTAAATAAAAAACGAAGATAAAACAAATTACAAAATAGCAAGAAAAAACAATGCTTGGAATAGATCGGACACAACATCTGAAGACCGGCAAACGAGATGATCAAATAAAAAAAGAGATGGGCTCAATGCAACGAAAAAAACAAGAGAGATCAAGAACAAATAGGATGTGGAATGACATGAAAAACGACATAAATATAGTGAAAATAAAACAGTGGAAAGAGAAATGCAGAAATAGAAAGGAATGGAGATAGATAAAACAATCAGTGACGACACAATAAATTATAACCAAAATAAGAAAAAAAAGTACGAATCTACCGTGGAATAGGATAATACCTGAAATTTTAAGCCAATTCAAAAGGATTGAACGGCGACCACGACGGTGAACAAAACATTTTGTTAATTATAAGAAATTATTATAATATTGAATCAATTCAATAATTGTATTTTTATACTAATAAATATAAACCTGTTATAAAATAAAATATCTCAACATATTATTTATATAGTATAAAAAATATAAAAGTATTATAGACCATAGATCATTGTACAGAGCTAGAATTATTATACCTACTTTAAAAAATTTGAAATAGAAAAATGTATCATGCAGATACTTACCAAAACGAATTTTTATTTTGGCGATTCATATCACTTTTTAGTCTATTTTATCACTTTTTTGTTACCAAATTCACACTTTTGTCCGTCACAAATCAAGTTTCATTTAAAATTTTCGAAAAGGAGCAACCGGCTTTCTAGAGAATAAATTTTTAAAACAAAAAATGACAGCACCTGGCGTCGATATCTATCTCACTCTATTGTTTTGCGCTAGAATGCAACAAATTTGGATAATTGAAGATCATAACCACGTTCGGTAATGCGATTTGTTTCCTGTAATTTGTATCAAATTTGCCATGAGGTGTATTCTTGGTTGCATAAATCGGAAAAATATTTTGAGAAAATTAATTTTGAAATCAATTTTATAGTACAGAAAAGCCTATAAAATGGAAGAGATTTAGAACTAGAGGAAAATAAATATAAATTATTTGTATGCATATATGATTAGAATTGTTCTAAACTTACTTTTTTTTATTTACAAAAAATCCGCTTCAACCTAATAATAGCGGACTTAGTAAATTAAAGTATTTTAAAAACATAAGTAAACTACAGTGTTTTTTGAATAAAAAAATGTATTTAAGAATGTTTGTTAAATGGTATTTAATTCTATGACGATTG